TTATATTATTCATATTTTGTATTTGATTTGGGATTGAAAATTGAGGTAAACACAATTTTCAAACCTACTGGACAATAAGGTTCTATTTTATTGTTTTGATTCGAGGTCACCACTGACTAACATCTTCCAAAATAAAGAAATCCAGCAATTATGGTCTCAGAAATGATGGTCTCAATAGAAATTAACAATATTATTTTTACAAAGGGAGTACTTACTCCATAGCCATTGAATTGGATTGCATTACACTGTAATGTGTTGTTCCATTTTTTATTGTTTATCCCTTGTATAACAACATGCACTACCAACACCACCTCCACCACCGTTGGATTTTTCTGATTTGTTTCAGTCGCTTTGAGGTAATAACTATGCATAATTACATAGCCATTAGAGCGAGAGAGGAGGAAGATATGAAGAGAGAAAGAGCCCACTTTACTCATTAGATTACATAACACAATGTGACTTTATTACGATAGAAAATATGGCCAACCTCTATCTCCCATGTTATAATAAACTACATTATTTATAGAAGTAAACAAAGCCTTGTCCTATTTTGCTGCTTGTTTTCCGGCACGCTGCATTTTCACATGTTAATTTTCAAGGACATCCGTTGGCTCAAAGCATGAAAAATAAAACTTGCTGCGTCTTGTTTGGGAGTGGAAAGGAAATGCAAACTGTGCCGGAGTTTACCAAATGATAGCACTTTCTGTATCTGTCCTTTTGGCTCCAGTTCTGTTGTTCAAGTGCCAGAAATACCTGCGTCTACTGTCTCATAGCAGAGTGACTGTGTGATTGTCTTACAGATCGTTAGGTAGTCAATGGTGTTTGTCCTCCGTTCGTGCCCACTCTGGCTGTTTGCTGAGGCAGAGATGGACCACAGTTAAAGGTCCTGGCACCTTCTTTTGTCAGAATCACTCTTCTTGACGTCTTGTTTGATGCTGAGTTGAAGTGAGCACTGCGGGGAAAAAGAGACACTCGGCTCCTGAAGGAAAATGTTTCATCAGAAAACAAAGGGTTGAATCTCTTTGCCTTTTCTCTCCCTCCACACTGTGAATGTAGATGAACACAGTTGTGCAATCTTTGAACTGTTCCCTTCAAGAAAATGAGACACAAAAGTATACAAGATGAAAGCGTTTTTGTTTGTATTGTAGAGCTGCAAATGCCTTTTGAAACTAAATGAAATGGTTATTGTGCTTCAGAAAACACAATTCAAATCACCCGTGAAAGTAGGATTTTGTTTTATTACAACTTGGGTCTTATTTTTGTAGCTTTGGCCATCATTTTCTTCATCAGTAATAATATGAATTTACACACTAAGGTAACACGGTCAAATGCAGGATTTAAAAAAAATACTGAGGCCCAATTAACCCAAAACTCTATTAATATTACATATCACAGCTTATCTCTTGGTTTAATAATTAAATTACCTTTTATCTCCCTACATTATGGTCTGAACATTCATTTAAGGCCTTTTCTACACTCCCAACTATGTCTATGTAAGTCATTGCATTTTAAAATGTTTAGTCTGAATATGTTTATACGATAAATGTTTAGTCCCATAATTAATTCCAAGAAATCAAAGACATGACCATTGTGAAATCTGTGTTATGACACTAAGAAGTCTACCTTTATCATATTTTTTTTTATTTAGTAAGTAACCACAATGAAACACCATGCAAAACAAGTTAAGCTCTGTGTATTCTTTTCCATCTTTCTGTCATTTTGTAACTCATATCAAGGCTAATGCGAAGACGTACCTTCCATAATAAGACCTACCAAAGACTCAACTTGAGATCTTCATCTCATGCTTTACCTGTGGAGTGCATGCACACACACGCGTTGAGGTCAGATCATCCAAAGACCCAACCCCCGAATCTCAGCCGATTTCTAGCCTCATGGTGCTCTAACGACAAGCAGAGGTTGAGGATTATCTCTCTCCTGGCCCCATCAGAGAGTCGAGAGCAGATGGTTTGGTTGAGCTGGTAGAGAGTTTCAGTAGTACACAGCTTTGATGAGAGATAACAGCATCAAAGCGTCATCAAACGCTCCCTCTAATCTAGAGCCACAATATACAAGAGGCTCTTAACAGTGTTGGGAGTCTGAGAAGAGCCACTCGATGCATCCCCGCTTGTTTTTCCGTCAGACAAGAGGCGGGAGAATAATACAAACTAATTTCTTGAATATTCTGTTGTGGTTTGAAGTCATGTTTGACAGGCGACAGAAACTCAAAGGCCAGAGTTATGTGACAAGGTATGTCTTTGCATTTTGACAGTTTAATTAACATGTCTGTGTGACCTATTTGTTCTACCTCAGGGATCATTTCAACCTTCCTGAACGTCCACCCGTTTGGAGCCAGCA